GGGCGGCGGCCACCACACAAGAGGCTCCTCCCATGGTGACCACACTGGCTGCTTTCGTTTCCTCTCGTGACAGGTGCTCGGTTGGTCTGTCCTGTCACAGCGAGGTATGAGTCGTCCTCGCGAGAATTGTCTACAGGCAGAGCAAGGCCGAGGGTTGACGTTCGGGGCTTCTCAAGAACCAGTGCCCTAAGGACTTTCGTTGTGTATGAGGTCCGGAAGAACAGGGACTCTGGGGCCCGACTGCTCCCTCTTCCCTGAGCTCATCACCCAGGCTGTGACCTTGGCCGGGCAAGATTTAGGGCTTAGTTTTCTAATCTGTTTCTGGGGGGATGACTGGGAAGCAGTTTTGAGGATGAGATGTTTGGCCCGCTGAGAGTCCACTGGCTGTTACTGCTGCTGAAGTCAGTAACGGAGCTGATATCCAGGTACCCCCCGGGGTCCCAGGCCTTTTTTATATGCCCCTTGTTAACTTGGATGCGCTTTCTGCTGCTGCCCGTACCCATCTGAACAATTCCTGGCCTGGGGTCTTATGAATCCTATAGGTGTGAGAGTCACTGGTTTTTTAGGGAAAAGGGAGATGTTTAGACAGGTGACAAAGACTTTGGTGGATGAGGTTTGCTTTCTGTTTTTCTGTAAGTCTGCAAAGATCTCCATGCTTGGCAGTACTACTGGACCATAGTAGTTAGGACTGAGGGTCATGCTGAAGGCTTGGGTTACTCAGGCTGTCTGGACACAATGTTCCCTGGGTACCCGTTCTTTTTACCTATGCTGGTATTTATTAAGCTGCGTCAGTGCTTCCAGTTCCTGTCCAAGGACCACCTGCAAGAGCTGGAGGAGGGTGGGGCAGGTTCCCGCCCCTTGGGAGTTTCTTAGCCCCTCTAGTGTTTGTGTGCTTTGTGAGCTTTATTCTAGTTTTGAAGAAAAGAGGATCTCTGATAAGCAGCTTTGTGAGGTCTGAAGTACAGATGTTGGGGGGGGGGGTCCTGCAGAGCAACAGTCATCAAAAGCACACCCAGGCCAGTGGTCATTTTTGGTGTTGTGCTATTTATGTACTGTTTGATGGCTAAGTTTTTCTAAAGAGGCACCATGCTTCTGGAAGTCGGGAACCGGGGGGGTGGCCCCGTTCCTATTTTCATTCAGTTCAACCCATTGTTAGGCACCTAGCACTTGCTTTTTGGTGCCACGGTCCTCCATTGAGTGCCAGCTCTGTGCTAAGCACCACGCTGGGTTTTCCCACTACCAGCGATGGAGGAGGCTATGGCCGGGCGGTGGCCTGGGGTCTGTCCTCCCCGCTGAAGGGCCCTTCCCTGCAGGTGGCTTCCTGCCTGGCCCGGCGCCATGCACACGCTTGTGTTCCTGAGCACGCGGCAGGTGCTCCAGTGTCAGCCAGCTGCCTGCCAGGCCCTACCCCTGCTGCCTCGAGAGCTCTTCCCCCTGCTGTTCAAGGTGGCCTTCATGGACAAGAAGACTGTTGTGCTTCGCGAGCTGGTGCACACATGGCCTTTCCCGCTGCTCAGCTTCCAGCAGCTGCTGCAGGAATGTGCTCACTGCAGCCGGGCCTTGCTGCAAGAGCGCCCCAGCACAGAGAGCATGCAGGCTGTGATCCTGGGGCTGACAGCCCGGCTCCACACCCCAGAGACCGAGGCTGGCACACAGCCTCTCTGCAGGTATGGGTGCACCCGAGGGGCTCTCAGGCCTGGGGGGTGCAGAGAGGGTTCCCCCCTGAGGTTCCAGGCGAGTGCAAGAGCTCAGTGCGGAAACAGGCATGTGGCTTCTGCCCCAAGGTGGCTGGGAGTGGGTGTGGGTTCTGCTTCCTTGTCTCCTGCTTCAGCCTACCCGTGCTCCCAGGAAGCATGCCCTGCGGGTGCTGGACATGACGGGCCTACTGGATGACGGCGTGGAGCAGGACCCTGGCACCATGAGCATGTGGGACTGCACAGCAGCTGTGGCCCGCACCTGCATAGCACAGCAGCAGGGCGGGACTGCGGATCCTGGGCCAGCCCCCATTCCTGTGGAGGTTCGTGTGGACCTGCGGGTGAACCGGGCCTCTTACTCGTTCCTGCGGGAGGCACTCCGGAGCAGTGTGGGCAGTCCCCTGCGGCTCTGCTGCCGGGACCTGCGGGCTGAGGACCTGCCCATGCGCAACACTGTGGCTTTGCTGCAGCTGCTGGATGCGGGCTGCCTGCGCCGTGTGGACCTGCGCTTTAACAACTTGGGCCTGCGTGGCCTGTCTGTTATCATCCCACATGTGGCCCGATTCCAGCACCTGGCCAGCCTGCGGCTGCACTATGTGCATGGGGACTCGAGGCAGCCCTCTGTGGATGGTGAGGACAACTTTCGCTACTTCCTGGCCCAGATGGGCCGCTTCACTTGTCTGCGGGAGCTCAGCATGGGCTCCTCTCTTCTCTCGGGGCGGCTGGACCAGCTGCTCAGGTGAGCAAGCCCCACTGTTGCCCTGTCCTTTTCCCCTCTTCCGAGACCCTGCCCTGGTCCTACTTGGTTGTGACCTGTGTCCCCTATTATAGCACCCTGCAGAGTCCCTTGGAGAGCCTGGAGCTGGCCTTCTGTGCCCTGCTGCCCGAGGATCTGCGCTTCCTGGCACGGAGCCCCCATGCTGTCCACCTCAAGAAGTTGGACCTTAGTGGCAACGACCTGTCCGGCAGCCAGCTGGAGCCTTTCCAGGGTCTGCTGCAGGCAGCAGCAGCCACACTGCTACACCTCGAGCTGACTGAGTGCCAGCTTGCTGATACCCAGCTGCTGGCCACGCTCCCTGTGTTGACGCGCTGTACCAGCCTCCGCTACCTCGGTCTCTATGGCAACCCACTGTCCATGGCGGGCCTCAAGGAGCTCCTACGGGATTCGGTAGTGCAGGCTGAGCTACGCACGGTGGTGCACCCCTTCCCTGTGGACTGCTATGAGGGTTTGCCCTGGCCACCGCCTGCCTCTGTCCTGCTGGAAGCTTCCATCAATGAGGAGAAGTTTGCTCGTGTGGAGGCGGAGTTGCACCAGCTGCTACTGGCCTCAGGTCGTGCTCATGTGCTCTGGACCACTGACATTTATGGGCGCCTGGCCGCAGACTACTTCAGCCTATGACCTCTAGGCTGTCCTGGTGTTCAGGGCTGCTGGAGACCCCTCCCTGCCTTAGGTAGACAGAGCCTTTGCTGGGACCCTGTTGGAGGCCTGACAGAGAGTCACTGGTCTCTGGTTTCCTTGCTCTTGGGCTCTGGCAGCCTTCCGATGCTTGGTGGAGCACCTTGCGAGGTTTTGCCCTGTACCTGTTCCCCTGACTGGCTGACTGTGGGCTTAAGGGCTGGATTCCAGGCCTGTTTTGGTTTGGCCAGGCTTGGTTTGGGTGCACTTGGCTGCCCTCTGGTGTCCTGGTCCTCTCTTTGGAATGTTTCTGGGGTGCCAGCTGTGAGCTGAGAGAGGGTGTTCTGTCTGGGCCCTTCCCAAGAACAGACTGCTCTGGGGTTGAAGCTGGAACAGGGACCTGCTTCAAGGTGGGTTGGGTCCCCACGCACTGGAGCCTTTCATGGTTCTCTCTGCCCTGGCACCCGGGAGACAACCTGGCTGGGCTTTGGAGCCAGCGGGTGTCATTAAGGTACAAATGTGCAGTGTGTTTGGAACTTAAATTTGTGGTGTTTTTTTCTGTCCTAACTGGTCAGAATGACAGGTCACTGGCTCTGCTGTCCCCTCCAGCGTAGCCACTGGGTAACAGCTGTCTTCCGGTCTGCTGTCCCCCTCCCCCTTTCCTGGGCACCTCCACAGCCCTTCGCCTCTCCCACCTTGGGGAGGCCCCAGGTCCTCCAGCAGGCTGGAGGGCCAGTGGCCGGACCTGCAGAGCTAGCGATTAGGGTGATGCTGGAGGGATCTTTTCTGGAGGGCTTCGGTAGGGCCGTGGGGAGCCTCCTCGGCCACCGTCCCTTGACGCCTTAGGGATTCTGTCCGCAGAGCCGGGGGTCCGCAGGTGCCTGCGCCCCGCCCTCGGGCCCCCAGATCCCACACATGGCTCGCCGCACACTGCGCAGCTTTTACCCTTTACTGACTGCGCTGGAGCATGCGCGGGGCGAGCCCGCGGGCCTGCCAATCCGCGAAGACTACGTCATCAGCGAGCGCCCGCCCGCCCCTCTGGGCCGCACTCTTCAGCAGTGGATCTCGTAGGCTGCCGGCGGCTGCAGCGGGAGGCCCTGCGCCGGCCCGGTTGCTGCGCCATCGGCAGCCTCCGTCGGGCCCTCGGCGAAGAGTGGCTTGGAACGGTCGATGACGAACATCTCGTGGCCTCGCTCGTCGCGGAGCTCCTCGAGCTGCGCGAAGGTGCAGGGCCCGTCCGAATAGTCGTTGACGAACAGCGCGCCCTCCCCCGGCAGTCCCGGCGCCTTTTTTCTCTTGCGCCGCCGGCGGCAGATCATGGTCGCCAGCAGCAGCGCCGTGAGCGTAAGGAGCGCGATGGCGCCCGCGATGGCCGTCTGGGTGGCCAGGCCCAGGGCGCGGAAGGCCATGCTGCCGGCCTCTTGCAGGGGCTCGTGGCTGACGGGGCCGGCGGCCGGAGGCGGCGGGGGCGCCAGCTGCAGCTGCTGCTGCTGGGACAGGTTGACCAGGAGCTGGAAGGGCACGCGGGCGGCGCCGCCGGCGTTGGAGGCCTCGCACTCGTACTTTCCTGCGTGGGCCAGGGTGATGTTGGTGAGGAAGAGCATGCCGCTGCCCGTGTCAGAGGCGCCGGGCCCGCCTGGGCGCGGTGCCCCGCCTTCTGGCTGGATCTGGGCCCGTGGCTGCCCTTCACGAGGCTGGGCCACCTTTCTCCAGGTCACCAGGGGCTGCGGGTAGCCGGAAGCCTGGCAGGCAACGCGCAGGTCCTCACCCAGGTTGGCCGTCACCTCCAGCGGCTCCACGTGTACAGAGGGCGGGATGCAGATGAGGCTACTGCCAGATATGTCCAGGAGACTTTGAAGTGCCAGGCGCGGGGGCTCTGCACACATGATGTTCTTGTCCCTGGAGCTGAGCAGCCGCTGGCCCCCTTCCTTGATCCATGCTCCCAGCCAGTGCAGGGCACAGTCACAGCGCCATGGGTTCTCTGTGGGCAGAGCAGTGGCGGACGGGTAGCTCAGGAATGGTCCCAGAACAACCTGTGCAGTTGGGCTTCTGCTGGCCAGAACCGGAACCCCTTTCCCACCTCCCCGAGAGCGGCCCCTGCCACCTCTTCTCTGACCTCAAGCTCCCTGGAGTGTG